TTCCAAAAAAGAAAGTTAGAAATTGTACAAGAAATTTTGTACTTTCGGAATGCATAAATTCTCTTGTAATCTGTTTTTTTCCCTACATATGAGGCTGTACAAGCTTTTAAATTACCAAACATTGTAATTCTAGGAAAATATAAAATGAAAAGAAAGGGAGGTTGGTGACCGATTGTGACATGGTTATCACCTTCTTCTAATAATTAAATTTGAACCATTTCAATATGTAGAATTTGTATGGTTCCTTGATATGGTCAAATTTCAAGTCCTAGAAATTTTTTTAAGTTTTTTTTCTTTTTTCTTTCTTCATTTGTTGTTGATTAAATTTAGTTCTTTTTGAAGGTGAAAATAGTATGATCCAAATTTTTGGAATAGTTTACTACATTTTTCTTAGTCTAATTTGTAGTTGTTGTTGTTTCTTATGCGCTAGCATAAGATGTTTTCTACTTGATTAGAACACATCACATCTCTATTACGTTTATCCATAAAATTTTTAATAATCAAGATTGAGACCCTACAACTTCAATAAATAAATAAGTTTTAAACATTCCTAAAAACTTAAATTTGTAGAAGTATTGGGGCATAGTTTTTTTCTTCATACAATTACAAATTTAAAAAATGATCAATTGTCATAATTTGGTGCAATATAGTCTACAAGAAGGAGAAATTTTGATGTAATGAATTTTGGACATGTGACAGAAATCAAAGGGAAGAGGTTAGTTATTCCACAAAATCAATAAAGTTGTTGATGTAATGCTGAATAAGTCAGTTTAGTTGAACAAAATAAAAAAACGTTCCAACATACATGATTTTAAGGATTTTTGACAACTAGAACTCGTTTTAACAACTAATAACACATGGTAAAAATCTTTTTTGCAATGAAGGATTCAAAGTTATTGAGATTCTTTTGATTTAATCAAGTATGATAATAGGGCACTTGAAGGAAATCATAATCAAGTTAGGTTTTTGGCAAACAAATTCAATTATGGAGACTAATAAATACAACTTTTCAACACAATTTCCATTTGTAGGCTTGCTTTTCTCAACAAATTCACTCGACACTTACTATGATATTTAAACTTCTCCTGCATATCTAACTCCTTCAATTTCCTTGTGAGATATTCCATCACTAGCACAAATAGATAAGGCGAGATTGGATCACCTTGTCGAAGCCCTCATTTCCCTTGAAAATAACCCTTTGGCTGTCCGTTTATCAATACAGAAAATCTGGTAGTAGAAACACAAAGCATAAGCCAGTTAATAAATCTATCAGGGAAGTTCAGCCCTCTTAACATTGCATTAACAAAACCCCAATCCACTGAATCATATGCTTTTTGTAGATCAATTTTCATTAAGCATCTAGCTGGCCCCCTACTTCTATGATAATTCTTCACCAGATCTTGGCAAATCAATAAATTTGTCATTATAGATCTGCCCTTCACAAATGCAGTTTGCTTACTGCTAAACAGCATGCTCAGCACTTCATTAATCCTCTGGGTTAAGAGCTTTGATATCACCTTGTAGATGATATTACAACAAGCTATTGGCCTATAATCATTGACAACATTTGGGCAACTCACCTTCGGAACAATAGTAATATTGGTGGCATTAATTTGCTTAAGGATTTTCCCACTGTCAAAGAAATCCAACACAGCAGCCGTGACATCATTTTTAATTATTGACCAAGCTACTCTATAGAACCCTGAAGTGAATCCATTAGGCTCTGGTGACTTGTTAGAAGGAATTGAAAATAGGGCAGTCTCCACTTCCTTAGCAGTAAATGGCCTACATAATTCTTCTGACTCTTCAGTAGTTAACACTCTGCCCCTGCGGATAACATTCATATCAACTGCTTGAACACCTTCTTTTGCCTTTCCAAACAAGTTTTGATAGAACATTAAAAACTCTTGTTCTATAAGTTCAGGCTTAGTCACTCTAACTCCTTCACTGTTCAGGATGGAGTTAATAACACTTCTATGCTGCCTCTCCTTTACTTTAGCATGAAAATAAGTAGAATTAGAGTCCATCTCCTTTAGCCAAGTTACTTTAGCTCACTGGGCAATTACAGACAGATTTGCTCTCTCAAGCTTAGTTAATTCACGTTGAAGTTCCTTTTCCTTTGTAGCCAAAGTCTCATCAAATAAAGCATTCTGCATGGAAGCTTGAACATTTTGTAGCTCTGTTGCCATATCTTTTATTCTTCCCTCCAAGTTTCCATATCTATTTTTATGCAGTTGCTTCATCTTCTGTTTTACCAATTTCAATTTCTGCACTACAACAAACATAGGGCATCCCTGAATATCCACACTCCAAGCTTCCCTAACCAGATCAAGGAAGTTTTCATCCTTAGACAACAATATCTAAATATCAATATTTAATAAGATGATTTTTTAAATTTTAAATTGAATTTTAATTAAATAAAATAATATAATTTAAGATAAAAACT